TACAGTACAGTGAAACCTGGGTCAGCCACTTTGGGTTTTGACTGCTTTTCGGCCAATTCTGTCCCGCATTTTAGCACTACCCCGGTTTCGGCCGGGATACCAGTGCAGGCATCGGAGCATCTAGCGTTCTTTATCCTAGAGTGAACTTACCCTGCGTGCTATCCTGCAGCCGGCAGCCATTAATTGTGCTTAATTTAAACCACTATGGGCCCTGTGGTAAAGAAAGTAGGAACACCATAGCAGTGAAGAGGAGAAGTAAAAAATACGAGAGTGGCGTTCGTGTGGGGGAGCTTGCCCAGGATGTATGGCAAAAACAAATCAACTATCACTTACTTCCTGGCAAAGAGAAAAGTGCTCAAGGAGCTGAGTTGTGAAAGGTGTTGTCATATACCAAAAATAAAACAGTCGAAGAGGTGAGAAGTTGGAGGTATGGAACAATAATAAACAGATGGCAATCACTTGTGAGAAGGCAAGGCAGTTGCATGCCGATCTTATAAAGAAAATGTCTGGAACCAGTGCTGATGTTAGTGAATTTAAGGCCAGCAGAGGCTGGCTTGACAGATTTAACCCTTTCAGGGTCCTGGCCGTAGATCTACGCCATGAGCTCAGCTTACTCTGATAAGCTGTGAGCAGTAAATTTGGGCCTAGATATGAGAGAATATATCTATGTGGTATGTGTGCAACCACATGAAACAAATCCTGCAGCACACAGTGCATAATGAGAAAAAACCCGAGACCGTAATTTTCAATTAAAACAGCGACTTTGCAGCGTTTTTTCTTATGTTTTTTAGAGTTGTATTTGCAATTTCTTGGTCTCAATTGATAGAATGGAAGATATACTACAGAAACAGAGATGATTTTGTTGTTTATATACTGAAATGGCTTGAAACTGAGCTCAAAGTAGCATAAATGTTAAATTTTTGCCGATGTTCAAGAGTAAACAAATGACCTCACGAGTCTAATACATGACAGCTGGTGGGTCTAATGTACATTCACAAATGTGGTGATATTATTTATACAATTATTACAGTATTGCATAGCAGTAAATCTTCTATTTTTTGGTTTTAATAAAAATTCATTATGTGAATAAAAAATCAAAATGGAATTCATTTGTAAAGCCTGAAAATGCAACTAATGAACAGAGGAAATGTTAGTTTAGTGTCAGGAATGCTTGCATTGTTTAACCCTTAAACGGTCCAAACGTATATATACGTTTTTTCAACATCTGAAAGTATGTAAAATAATGTAGATATTCTTTTTTGTTTTACATTTGAAAACATGTAAAAAAACTTTTATCTACATTTTTTTTTGCTATATTTGAAAATACGTAAAAAAAAGTGGATCTACTTTTGGAGCACTACGAATTTGAACGTCGATCTGTTTGGACCGTTTAAGGGTTAATCTGGACCCTATTTTGAAATTGAAATATTTTGAACTTTGCATTAAATTGGCCAAATTACCAATTTCTGGTCACTTTATTTTGTTGTTGAAACAGTTGATTTGGCGATTTCTTGTGCTCAATCGATAGAATTGAAGTAATACTAGTGAAATACCTAAGAATTTGGTTGACTGGAATACTGTAATTGCCCTAAAATGGGAGTAAAAGTTGGCAAAATCACCAATGTGTAAATGTCGCCGACACATCAAAATTCGCAAGAGCATAATTTTGTCAATTTTCCATCAAATTTCATACTTTTTGTTTTATTACCTTCAGAAAAAGATTCTCTACCATTTCATAAGAAAAAATAACAAAATTATTTTTTTAAAATTCTTGGACCCTGGTGCACACTTTGAAATTTGGCTCTCTGGACCCTGAAAGGGTTAAGAAGCATAGTGGTATACAGAGTGTGATAAGGCATGGTGAGGCAGCATGTTCAGACAAACGTGCGGCTGAAAACTTTGTGAGTGAATTCAAGGGGTACATAGAGACTTAAAAATTTAAATCCCAACAAGTGTTCAGTTGTGATGAAACAGGCCGGTTTTGGAAGAAAATGCCGAAGAGAACCTACATTACTCAGGAGGAAAAGGCACTGCTTAGACACAAGCCTATGAAAGACAGGCTAACACTCTTGTTCTGTGCTAATGCTAGTGGGGATTTTAAAGTTAAGCCTTTACTAGTGTATCAGGAAATCCCAGTGCATTTAAGAAAAACAATGTCATTAAGAATAAATTGTGTGTCTTGTGGAAAGCAAATAATAAGGCATGGGTCATGAGGCAAATTTTCAAAGAGTGGGTCCATGAAGTGTTTGGCCCCAGTGTGAATTTTTTTTTTTTTTTTTCAACGTCGGTCGTCTCCCACCGAGGCAGGGTGACCCAAAAAAAGAAAGAAAATCCCCAAAAAGAAAATACTTTCATCATCATTCAACACTTTCACCACACTCACACATTATCACTGCTTTTGCAGAGGTGCTCAGAATGCAACAGTTTAGAAGCATATACGTATAAAGATACACAACATATCCCTCCAAACTGCCAATATCCCAAACCCCTCCTTTAAAGTGCAGGCATTGTACTTCCCATTTCCAGGACTCAAGTCCGACTATATGAAAATAACCGGTTTCCCTGAATCTCTTCACTAAATATTACCCTGCTCACACTCCAACAGATTGTCAGGTCCCAAGTATCATTCGTCTCCATTCACTCCTATCTAACACGCTCATGCATGCTTGCTGGAAGTCCAAGCTCCTCACCCACAAAACCTCCTTTACCCCCTCTTTCCAACCCTTTTGTGAAAAAATACCTCCTGGAAAATAATTTGCCAATTAGTGCCTCCTGGTAATGGACAATGCTCCTGCTCATCCTCCAAACTTGGAAGACCTATTGTCTAGGGGCTTCAGTTTTATAATAGTTAAGTTCTTACCTCCTACAAACACTCCTCTCCTCCAGCCCATGGACCAATAGGTCATTTCTAACTTCAAAAAACTCTACACCAAAGCAGTGTTTGAAAGGTGCTTTGAAGTGACTTCACACACTCAGTTGGCCGTAAGAGAGTTCTGGAGGAAGCACTTCAGTATCCTCCATTGCATAAGCTTTATAGGTAAGGCTTGGGAAGGAGTGACTTCCAGGACTTCGAAATCTGCTTGGAGACGATTGTGGCCACAATGTATCGTCCAGAGGGATTTTGAAGGGTTTGAGGCTGACCCTAACCCTGCCGACTCTCTGCCTGTTGTGGAAGGTATTGTGGCATTGGGCGACTCCATGGGGTTGGAGGTGAGTGGCAAGGATGTGGAAGAGTTGGTGGAGGACCACTAGGATGAGCTAACCACTGACGAACTGCAAGAGCTTCAACTGGAACAGCATCAGACCACAGCTTAGGAACTTGCTTCAGAGGAGGAGGAGGAGGAAGAGGGAGTGAAGGAGGTGCCTTCTTCACTGATTAAAGACGTGTGTAAAGTGGAATGAGTTGCAAACTTTTGTTGAAAAGTATCACCCTGACCAAGCTGAAATAAGCCATATCTGCAACATGTTCAGTGACAAAACTTTGTCCCACTTCAGAGAAATCTTAGAGAGACGCCAGAAACAGAGGACTCTTGACAGTTATTTTGCATGACAGGGGTCCAGTGACTCAAGTTGGTCCTAGTGGCCTTAAAAGACAAAGAAGGGAAGTAACCCCAGATAAGGACTTGATACCTAAAGTCTTTATGGAAGGGGATTCCCCTTCCAAACAATAAGTCCTCCCTATCTTCCAGATGCCAGCAAGTCTCTTCAATAGAGTAAATGTTATTTTAAATGTTTATTTAAATTTTAATTTATCTATTGTATAATATATTTGTATTTATCTGTGTTGTGTATGTAAAATTATAGTTATTCTTTAAAAAATGTATTTTTTTTGTGAATATTTTTGTGGGTTTGGAATGGATTAATTGTATATACATTATTTCTTATAGGAAATATTGCTAAGCCTTTCGGCCGTTTCGAGTTTAGGCCTAGCTCCTGGAACGGATTACAGCCGAAACTCAGGATTCCACTGTATTATATTTTATATGGAAATTTTGCTAAATTTACATTAATACATGTATTTTTAGCACTTTCTTTGATTATAATAATAATACATTAATATTTATGTTACAAAATTATTAAATTATATTTTTCTTAATATTTTAGCATTAAAACGCATAAAAAATTATATACAGCCTCTCCTCACTTAGCGACATACTCGCTTACCAATGACTCAGACTTATGACGGGCTCTCTGACCAGTATGCATACCTCAATAATGTATATTAGAGCTGATTTCCTCGATTTTATTTATTACAATATACAGTACATTACTGCATAAACATTTAAAAATATAAATGGTGCAAAGGTGACATCAAAACAAAATAAGAGATGATTGACACAAACCCACTTCCATTATAATATGCTCCTCACTTAACGACAAATTCGTTTATCAATGTGGTCTTAGAAACGGAACTCCTTCGTTAAGTGAGGAGAGGCTGTATTGCCACAAAAAAAAGCCAAAAAAAAAAAACTTCCATGAATTTGTGGGATTTCCGCGAACAATTATTAGTTAGGTTCTAAGGAAAAATCCACAAATTGCTGAAGCCACAAATTTCGAACCGCAAATTCGCAAGGTCCACTGTATTCTGCTTTACTGTACCAATTTTTTTTTTTTTTTTTTACAATACTTTCCACCTCATTAAGCATGTTTAATATATTTGGGGCAACTTCAAATGACTAACAAGGTCACAAAGAAATTCATGAAAATAAAGTTTCTAACGACAATTTTTTTTTAACTAACCATTTCATCTCTCAAAGAGGTAAGGTGACCCAAAATATAATAATAAATATTAATAATAAGCCATGAGGAAATGGAACAGAAGTCTTCCTCCATAAGCCACAAGAGTCATAAGAGGTGATTAACATGCCAAAAGCAAAATTTAAAAAGAAAAACTATTGTTTTTCTTTTTGGGGTCACCCTGCCTCAGTGGGCTATTGCCAATTTGTTGAAAAAAAATAGTAGCAGCAGTTTATCCCCACAAGGTATAATTACAAAAAGGATGACATTTAATAGTATAATATGGTCAAGCTACTTACAGTATGTGTTACTTTAACATATATATATTAGCTTATCATATATAGTAGGAGAAAGTTCTTTGATGTATACACTAAATTTCCTGGGTAATTAAAAATAGGAAGTGTTAAGTATTTTACTGAGTAAAGGCATGAATATAGCATGTGAATAAAATGAAAATTTAATACAAAATCACTGCTATTATAGTGTCAGGAAAACTAATTTTACCTGCATTTATAACATTGCACAATATTTAAATAGTGAAGCTCATAAAATCTGGTACACAGAGCATGGTTTTAAATTGCATGATTTTTAAGAAAAAAACACCTAATCCAAAGAGATTAATTACATTATACAATGTTCTTTATAATAAATGCTAAGTTTTCAAAAATCATGTGTTTAAAGGGAAACCATCCCAAATATTTCCAAAGCATAGCCAATAGCATTATAAATTTTATTCTAGGTATTAATATTTAAGATGTGTACCGAAAAAAAAGGACAAAATACTGCAGATTTCACATTAAACAGAGAAGATTTGAACAATTATTTATCATCACATTCCATCTGCTGCTGCTGCTTTAGCCTTTACTGCCTCTGCTTCTGCTTGTTGCTGTTGTATAGCTGCTAACTGATGATCAAGTTTGACCTCCATCATGTCCATCACAACTGAAACACGATACATATGAGGCTGGACAAGATTCTTGCAACAGAACCTGCACCATGACTTGTAGGTTTATACAAGATACTTACAGATGACATATGACACAATACAAGATTTATACAAGAGAAACATGATGATACACGAGATTACACAACTCTTAACCCTTTCAGGATTTCGGCCATACTAGTACGGTTATGCATCAGGGTTTTTGACGTACTAGTATGCCTAAATTCTAGCGCCCTCAAATTAGTGGGAGAAAGTGGTAAGCATACATATGAAAGAATGGGTCTATGTGGTCAGCGTCCCACAGTATAAAAATTCCTGCAGCACACAGTGCATAAGGGAGAAAAAAAAAAACTGACTGTTTTTGGAATAAAACAGCGACTTTGCACTGTATTTTCGTATGGTATTTATTGTTGTATTCTAGTTTTCCTGGTCTCATTTTATAGAATGGAAGACATATTACAGAAATTGAGATGATTTTGACTGGTTTTACAATGAAAAGTACCTTGAAATTGAGCTCAAAGGGAGCAGAAAGGTTCAATTTTTACCAAAGTTCAAAAGTAAACAAATCATGCCAAGCGTCCAATACACGTCAACTGGCGAGTCTAATATTCTTTCACAAGTGCGCTGATATTATTTATACCATTTCTACACTAATGCAGCAGTCTGCATAACAGTAAATATTCTATTTTTTGTAAGAATAAAAATTTAAAGTGGAAAGCCAAAGAAATATAAGAGGGGCCTGGGGATGTGACTAACGAACAGAGGAAATGTTATTTTAGTGCCAGGAATGTCTTTCTTGTTTATTCTGGACCCTATTTGGAAATTGCCATCTTTTGAAATTTGTGTGAAATTGGCAAAGTTGCTAAATTCTGACCACTGTATTGGATAGTTGAAATCGGTAAATGGGTGGGTTCTTGTACTCGTTCAATAGAAAAAATGGAGTTCTAGAGAAATAGTTATGATTTTTGTCGACAAGTACACTGGAATTGGCCGAAAATAGGGCTCAAAGTGGGCAAAATCGCCGATGCGTAAACATCGTCGAGACCGCTAACTTCACGAGAGCATAATTCCATAAGTTTTCCATCAATTTCATACTTTTGGTGTCATTATGATCAGGAAAAGATTCTCTATCTTTTCATAAGAAAAAATAATTTTTTTTGAATTTGGCCGACCCTGAGAACAAGTCTCGGAGAGGGCCTGTCGACCCTCAAAGGGTTAACACTCGGTGTGCACCATATTAAAAAAAATCTGGGTCCACTTAGTACCTTGTGGGAGCACAAGTTAAATTGAGCCCCAGCTAGAGCAAAGAGTGCAGCAAACACCAAGGATTCACTGATGTAATGTCATATAAACACTCCTCTTTTAAGAGGAAAGTGATGTTAACCCCAAGTTTAGGGTCTGTCGATCTCTGTCTCTGTCTTTGTCTATCTCTGTCTCACAGGTACACATAAATACAAGTATACGTAGTAGAAAATTACCTAGGATAACCCAAAAAATCCAGACAAAATGCTATATTCTGCTTGAAGATGTGAGTAAACGTGTGATGACACAGTCTTGTGGCACTCTCTGAGACAGAGAGCTAGACAGATAGACAGGGAGCTTGACAGACAAATAGACAGACAGACATGTTTGTGTACCAGCACAAACAAAGGGAGGGTGATGCTCATCAAATGTCACCTCTAATCTTTTCTTATCAGCTACACCCTCCCCCACCCTGTGTATGCACATCAAATGTCAGCTCTTATCAGATGTTATCTCATCTTATCATGTCACTGGCAGGGGTGGACTTTGTTTTTCATGCTTCAAGGGAACTTATTATTACCTATTAATTTTTTTTTTTAACAAGTCGGCCATCTCCCACCTAGGCAGGGTGACCCAGAAAGAAAGAAAATCCCCAAAAAGAAAATACTTTCATCATTCAACACTTTCACCTCACTCTCACAAAATACTTTCATCATTCAACACTTTCACCTCACTCACACATAATCACTGTTTTTGCATTATTATTATTATTATAATAAGAAGCGCTAAGCCACAAGGGCTATACAGTGCTGCAGGGCAGGAAGGAAGCGAGGGCATCAGGTGGCAAAAGGGAGGTGGATGAGTAATAGGTTACGGATAACAGCGGAGCAGTGGATGGTGAAAGGGTAAAGGGCAGCAAGAGACTGAGCTAGAAAGGGCTGAGGGGAGTGCGTAAGGTATTCTCATCATCAGAGTTTGTGGAGTAAATCAGTCGTTGTCAAGAAGTCAATGAGAGAGTCAGGATTAAAGGAGGGTCCATCAGAAAGAAGGGAAGGTAAAGAGAGAGTAGTAGAACGAAGACGGCATTGGAGGTAAATTCTGCGTGCTCGTTGATAGAGAAGGCAGTCTAACAGAATGTGGCTAATCGATACTGGAACTTGACACTGCTCACAGGGAGGTACAGGGTGCCTCTCCATGAGATACCCGTGAGTAAGACGAGTGTGGCCAATGCGAAGACGGGAGGGGAGGGGGTCTCCCAACCACGGCACTGATGACAAGAAGACGGCCAGTAACCTATGCTCGGTTTAATAGAATGAAGTTTGTTACCAAGCAGAGTTAACCAACGTTGTTGCCAACGGGCGCGAAGGTGGGAGCTATTTGTAGCAAAATAGTCCAGAAATGGAACACTCTATAGGAAATTGGTAGGTCTTTGTACTCTGACCGCCGCAGCAGTGTCTCCCTGTTCATTGCCCTGAAACGTCAAACATGACAGGGACCCAACAAAAAATAATATTTTATCCCTTCCTAAGAGTACGGCGTAGCCAAAAAGTTGGATACGGGAGAACTAGGGGGTGAGATGTATCAAATTTTAGTACAGCCTGTGAGCCTAAGGGGAGTCTGGATCCACAAATGATGACACAGGCATAGATGCGATACGAATAGTGCTGCAAGAATTCCCTACAGTTCAGCATTTAAAATGCTAGCAAAGATAGTAAATGCCCCCGCAACGACGCTGCCCGGAAAACTGCTGCGAAATCCGAGCGTCTGAAACTTAGGCCATCTGTGTACACAGCGGTTGGGTGGAATGAGGTGGAGTGATCAAGAAAAGAGAGGGGAAGCCACCGTAGGCAGTTGAGTTTCGGAAAGGGAGGGGAGGAAAAAACCCAGCCGAACAGCTGGAACTTCCAGGGGAATAGGGAAAGTAAATGCTACATGAAACTATAAAGGTGGTAACTGAAGAGAAGACAAGAGTGAATGTAGGCGAAGAGAAAAGGGACGGAGCAAACAGGGGCGGCGACGAATAAAGAATGTCTACTAATTTCGGTGACCATTCTATAAATGGAGGATTGTGTAGATGTGAGAGCGTACATGGTAGCGAAGGCAATGGGCATCACGGCGATCAGACAAGGATGGAACATTCGCTTCTGCATAGAGGCTCTCAACAGGGGTAGAGCGAAAAGCCCCAAAGGGCCCACAAACGTAATCCTTTGGTGATGGATAGAGTTAAGGCTAGGAGAGTAGCGGGAGAGGCCGCGGAATAAATCTGGTCACCATAATCGAGTTTCGATAAAACGGGGGTGAATGTAGGCGAAGCAGATTTTCGACGATCAGCTCCCCAGGAAAGATGAGAAAGGGGTTTTAGAAGGGTTTAGCCGGCTGTGACAAGTTCCCTTCAGAGAGGTAATTGTGAGGTTTCCAGGATAACCTACGGTCAAAGAGAAGGCCTAGAAACCTGACTATCACGTTCGGGGATACGGGAAGCCATGAGATACAAAGGATGATCGGAGATAACAGAGCGTCTAGTGAAAGTAATTTGGTGATTTTGGTACTTAAAAATTTTTAAACCCATGGTGGGGGCCCCAAGTGGAAACACGGTCGACCGCATGCTGGAGAGAAACTGCAATAAGATGACAGTCAGCCCCTGCACAAGAAATAGCGAAGTCATAAACATAGAGTGATGACCAAATATTGGGTGGAAGAACAGAGGCCAAATCATTTATAGCAAGGAGAAAAAGTGTTGTGCTTAGAACACATCCTGAGGGAACCCTTCAGCTTGGACGAAGCCCGGGGGAAAAGAATATTACTGACTCGAACACGGAAATGTCTGTCAGTTAAAAAGTTTTTAAAGGGAAAAGGATGGTAGATTGCCCGGAGGCCTAAGGAATGGGCCTGGGCCAAAATATTATACCTCCAAGTTGTGTCATATGCCTTCTCAAGGTCAAAAAATATGGCAATAATTGAGTGATTATTCGCAAAAGCATTACGAACATACGTATCCAAGCGTAGTAAGGGGTCTATGGTAGAACGACCCTTACGAAAGCCATATTGACTAGCGGAGAGACTGTTGTGTGTCTCTAAATACCACATTAAACGTCTATTTACGAGACGTTCCATCACTTTGCAAACTGCAGTAGTAAGAGCGATAGGACGATAGTGGGAGGCATCATGTCCTGTAGTACCCGGTTTGTGGAAAGGGAGAACAATGGCAGATTTCCACAGCTGGGGAAGAACTCCTTGTGCCCAAATAAGATTGAAGAGGTGTAAGAGGACTACAAGGGCTGACCTATGTAAATGTTGTAACATACGAATATGAATGTCGTCAGGCCCAGCTGCCGATGAGCGTTGCCTCCAGTTCTTGAAGTGTAAAAGGCACATTATACTGTTCTTCTCTGAGAGAAGAAAAGTCCAAGGGTACTAACTCTCTGGCAGACTTTGAGGAAAGAAATGAGGGGCAAGATGGAGCCCCGGGAAATACGGACCAGATGTGTGCCAAGTTCAATGGCAACGTCGAGAGGGTTTGCTACATCAACACCAGTGACCCGTAGAACAGGAGCCGGGTCAGGAGAGTATTTACCAAATCAATTTCCTCACTTTTTTCCAAGACTGCACTCATAGAAGAAGCAGAGGTGATGGTGGAAACATAGTCTCGCCAACAAGTGCATTTAGCTTCACGGATGACACGGCGAGCGATCGCACGCTTCTGTTTAAAAATTCAAAAACTTTTCCAGCGGTTCTATTGTACCGGTACCTGCCCCAT